CACTCTTGACGCCTTAGCCAATATACACAGATGTAGCTTACATCCTATAATATGAAATGATACATACTGTTGTGTCCACAGTCTGATTACCTTTGAGAGAGTTTTTCCAGCCAGATCTTTCTTGCTCTGTGGTTAGAGATGAGCATTCCCTCACTCTCAAAATGCTGTCATAGAACACAATCCCACGTGGAGAGGTGTGCTGGTTATGGCTGGGGTAGAGTTAATTTTCTTCGTAGTAGCTGGTATGGGGCTAGGTTTTGGATTTGTTCTGAAAACAGCATTGGTAACACAGGGATGTTTTCATTATTGCTGAGCAGGGCTTACACAGAGTCAAGGCATCTTCTGCTCCTCACACCACCCCACCAGCAAGTAGGCTGGGGGTGCAGAAGAAGGTGGGAGGGGACACAGCTGGGACAACTGACCCCAACTGACCAAAGGGATATTCCATACCATATGGTGTCATGGTCAGCAATGAAACTAGGGGGACATTTGACCGGGGGAGTTGCTCCTCAGGAGCTGGCTGGGCATCGGTCAGTTGGTGGTGAGCCATTGTTTTCATTTGCATTACTTGTCTTTCTTGGGTATTATTTCTCTCTCTTTGTGATTTTCCTTTTCATTACAATTATTATTTTATTTTATTTTATTTCAGTTATTAAACTGTTCTTCTCTCAACCCACAAGTTTTCTCACTTTTACCCTGGTGATTCTCTTCTCCCCCATCCTGCTGAGGGGGTGGGGAGTGAGCAAGGGGCTATGTGATGCTTATTTGCTGGCTGGGGTTAAACCATGACAACAGGTTGTTTCCAACGTGATCCCATGTGGATGGCCTGTTCCCAATGTGCTCCCAATGCCATGTGCCTATGTTGTTCCCATAGACACTGAAGAAACAGCAGTACCTGGGATGTACTATGCTACAGAAATTAACACAGCAACAGATGATGCTCATTTTCCATCATTACCTGCAACACACTGGGTGTATATTTAACCACTCTCATGGCTATCACTCAATACCACGAGCACTGACCTACAGTGTTATAATACATACCTATAATGCTTTTACTCTTATCTGAAGGCAAATCCTCTTCATGTGGCTGAGCTACCCACACTCTCCTTTCCAGTGCAGTGGGCTATTCTGGGATTCCTCTCCTCTTCAGGGCAGCTGCACAGCCTCAGGATGATCAAAAGCAGCAGAGCTAATTTATGAACCGTAAGGTCAAATTTGGGTGTAAGAGAAGACTTTGTGACCTTCCTGTAGGCCCAAATGCTGGAACTCAGTGAGGAAATATGGCAACAGCATCATTCCCCCCCACCTTCCACCTTTGGCTGGCATAATTCATATTTCTGTTCACTGAACTGGCACATGCTGAGCAAGTGCTTGACTGGATGAACTGTGTACGGTACTTTCATATTCTTTGGTCTGTTCCAGGGAAAAAAAATCCTAGTCCTCAGCTAATATCCACATTGGGTACATTTACATCAGTGCTTTGGCTCTGGTCAGGAGTACAGCAAGGACAGGTGACTTCCTAAGGGATGACAGCCAGGAGCTGGGCAAGCGGCTGACAAATATATGACAGGTCTGGCTTCATAGGGCAGGAAAGCTACAGTTAAAATACATTTGCCTTTTGGATTACACAGGCCTCAGATTACAAATATCATGCCTGGAGTCAAAGGGGTGATTGTGGGGATAAGTGAACTTTTCCTTTACAAAGCAACTGACCTTTGTTGTCAAGGAAGCCATCCCACTATTCAGTGAGTCATCCTTTAGTCATTAGTCAATGGTAGAGAACTTCAAAATCAAAATAATCTTGTTATAAACTTGCTTCACCAACATAAGAGTAAAAGAACTGCTTCTAGCTAAGCATAAATAAATCATAATGTTAATGCAAGAGGGAATATGAAAGCTTCACTACTCACGATCAGGATTGGCATAGGCAATGTCAGGGCAGGTTTCTTGATCTGCCAAGGTCATTTCAGAGTATTGCCTGAGCAAAAGCACTGCAATGAAGTCTGAGAAAAATAGTTTCATATGCATGCAGACGGTGTAGGTGAAAGATTGAACAGAGGCAGTTAGTAGTGCAGGAAGAGAAAGGGTTTGCATTTCAAAGCAAAGCGTGTGCTGATCTGTAGGTGTCCTGAAAGAGATGAGGTGAATCACAAGGAAGAAAGGCTGAGAATCTGCACTGTCTCTGCAGGATAGGAAAAGGGTTTGCTGCCTCCTCCAAATTGCACACTAGGGAGCCTTGCCTAGGGAATACTTGATATGCCTGGTACTCTTCTTTCATCTTCCCTTAGTGATATTTTCTGCCACTCCTGCAGGTTGCAAGAATGTTCACTATGACCTTGTCTTCATCTTGGATGCCTCCTCCAGCGTCGGAAAAGAAGATTTTGAGAAAGTTCGGCAGTGGGTGTCTAATTTGGTGGAAACTTTTGAGATTGGCCCAGACAAAACCCGTGTAGGTGTGGTACGATACAGTGATCGTCCAACCACAGAGTTCGACCTGGGAAAGTACAAAACCCGTGAGGAAATCAAAGAGGCTGCACGAAAAATTAAGTATTACGGGGGTAATACGAACACTGGAGATGCTCTCAGGTACATCAACACCTACAGTTTTTCCAAAGAAGCTGGTGGGAGACTTAGTGATCGAACTGTTAAAAAAGTGGCTATCCTTTTGACTGATGGAAGGAGCCAGGATCATGTCTTGGATCCAGCCACTGCAGCCCATCAGGCTGGGATTAGGATCTTTGCTGTGGGTGTTGGCGAAGCCTTAAAAGAGGAACTCGATGAGATTGCTTCAGAACCCAAGTCTGCTCATGTGTTTCATGTGTCTGATTACAACGCCATTGATAAAATTCGGGGGAAGCTGAGAAGACGTCTCTGTGAAAGTAAGTAGAGCTCCCAGTTCTTCTACACAATTTGAATTATAATAGGTTCAGTTGGCATATAGGTATGAAAAGCTGTGATTGTTTTCTTTCATGCTTATAATTTTTCCTGATAATTCTTTGTTTTAGTGTCTTCCACTCTGTTCTACTCTGTACGAAGTCATTTTACAACCTGGAACTTGATGAAGTGATCACTTCTGGGTTCTTCTGCCCAAGTCAGTATTAACTATAGGTTAGCTTCTAGTGGTCAACTACAGAGTAAAATGTGAATTCCCTTTTGGTTCTGATATAGTTCAATTACTTTATAATATTATGGACTACTGAATATGAAGGGTGACGTCTTATTTACACCCAGATTCTAGTTTATTTTGTATAGGAACTGTTTTCTTTCCCCCTTATTTTCTGGCATTGTACTGTGAAAAGAGTGCTCTGGTGCTGCTGAGAATGATCCTTTAGGAAGCAAAAGGATACTTGTGCTTTTCTGCCTTTCAGGATCCCAACTGTACTGACAGCTGGTGTTCACTACTGCTCTGACTGTCAACCACATAAACCTTGGTGGTGTTTTGAATGATTTTTAATGGAGAAATTCACACTGAATACATGAACTTTGAATTTCCAGCCCCTTGGTGAAGATGACTGTAATGGCATTATGGCTGGTATCTCCCATCATTTTAATAGGAATATCAATCACATAGCCCTTTCTCCTTCCACCACTGATAAATCACTGTCTCATTCTTAGTGACTACATAAGAGCTACTTGGTTTTGCTGCTTTTTGCAGTGTTTATTGTGGTTACTCTGAGTTCTTTGGGTCAAAATCAAGGCACACAGCTCTGATTCCTAGGTCTGAACTTCAAAGAGAGCAGCTAACTCCCTTTGTGATTCTGTAACACATTGCCGCATTACAATGATCAGGTCTGTAGGCTAGCAAGTTGTGTTACTGGCAGGTGACAGTAAGTTGCCTGAAAAAAAGCAGGCCTTGTAGTTGGTGTAGCAAAGCTCTCTATGACCTCCATTTGCAAGAAAAAAAGCTCAAAATGACCTGGCAATGTGTGCTTGCAGGGCAGAAAGCCAACTGTATCCTAGGCTGCCTCAAAAGAAGCGTGACCAGCAGGTGGAGGCAAGGGATTCTCCCCCTCTACTCTGCTCTCATGAGACCCCACCTGCAGCACTGTCTTCAGCTCTGGGGTCCTCAGCCCAAGAAGGACATGGACCTGTTGGAGTGAGTCCAGAGGAGGCCACGGAGATGATCCGAGGGCTGGAGCACCTCTGCTGTGAAGACAGGCTGAGAGAGTTGGGGTTGTTCAGCCTCGAGAAGAGAAGGCTCCGGGGAGACCTTAGAGCAGCCTTCCAGTACCCAAAAGGGGCCTACAAGAAAGCTGGGGAGGGACTTTTTTACAAGGGTGTATAGTGATAAGGGACAAGGGGCAATGGCTTTAAACTGGAAGAGGGAAGATGTAGATTAGATATTAGGAAGAAATTCTTCACCATGAGGGTGGTAAGGTGCTGGAACAGATTGCCCAGAGAAGCTGTGGCTGCCCCATCCCTGGAAGTGCCCAAGGCCAGGTTGGATGAGGCTTTGAGCAACCTGGTCTGGTGGAAGGTGTCCCTGGCCATGGCAGGGGGGTTGGAACTAGATGATCTTTAAGGTACCTACCAACCAAACCATTCTGTGATTCTATGATTCATGATTCTATGAAAAAAAGTGTTATAATGCTCTGGGCTTATGTATGCTTCTTAAAGAGTAACTAGCACCAGCAGTAGACATTGCCCAGCAATACCAAGGTGTGACTGCTTTTTTGCAACCTGAACAAAAATGGGTATGGATAGTGTAATTCGAATACAAGTGGAAGTCATGGTGGATATTGACCGTAAGCTATGCAGACTGAAGGAATTCAGTCTTTTTCCCTGAAAATCTTACGTAATTATACATACAACTGGGGTGTAATAAAGAAGGGTAAGCCCTTTTGGTGGGCACACTCAATCAACACACACAACTTCCTACTGCAGCTACTGAACTCTCGAAATGTGATTTTCCTTTCCTATTACTCTCCTTTTCTAAAGCAAGTGTTTTCAGTACTTTGTGCCTGGGTCAGTGTTTGTCACCTCCTCAAAAAAATGATTTATCCATCTGTCAGACTATAATACCATTTGTCTCTGACTTTCTGAGCCCGTACTACATCCACACGTGCGTGCATACCACTCTCATTAGATTGCAAAGGATCACTGGGAGCATCCTTCATCCAGAGTGTAATAGCAGTCACTCTCCAAAGTGTTTGCTTCCACTTGCACTAGGGGGCTCGGTGTGGAGACATAAAGTCTCTAAAAGGTTAAGTAAAAGGGAAGGGTTTAGTTTTATGAGATATAGAGAATTTTTAAGTGGAAAACACACTTGTGGTGGGTTAGCCTTGGCTGGATGCCAGGTGCCCACCAAGCCACTGTATCACTCCCTCTTCCTCAGCTGAACAGGGGAGAGAAAATACGACAAAAGGCTCATGGGTCAAGATAAGGACAGGGAGATCATTCACCAATTGCCATCACGGGCGAAACAAACTCAACTTGGGGGAATTAATTTACTACCAATCAAATCAGAGTAAGATAAAGTGAAAATAAAACCAAATCTTAAAACACCTT